AACGTGAACACTGCAAAACACAGAGTGGTGTCATTATGTAGAGCACTCTGGGGTCATATCTTTGTGTTCCCAGCTGCTTGCCTTAAGTCGCCAGTCACGTCTACCAGAATGTGAGGTTGGTGAGAACTCATCATAATTCAAAGAGCTAAACCACCAAGAGAATGGTCAGTGGTTGCTTTTGAAAGGTTTTCAGGACCGCTGATCATTTTGACCTCAAGACGACCACAGCATACGCTCTTTTAAGATCAATACTTTTTTTTGACACGTCTACTAGTCAGGGAAGCATGGTAGGTTGCTTAGTGTGCAGTATTTCATTTATTCATTTCCCCCTGCTTCCCTCTGCACTTCTCTTTTCCTCTAGAAGATTCTTTCTCTTTGTGTCCACTTGCAAACTCCTACTGTGCATCCTCCCGTACACCTCTTAGACATGAAAGTCCGCTCTGTAATGTCTCCAATTCCCTCTACCTCCAGTTCTCTGATGAATTGTTTAGTTCTTCTTCTGGGCCACTTTATGTGCACCATCCCATACTATAATCATGGGTTTGCTTCTCACACTATTACTCTTCTTTATATCCTAACAGTCCAATACAGAACTGAGCAGAGAAGCAGTTAATAAGTGTCCACTGAGTGAAAAGTCAAATCTAGTTGAGCAAAATTCAGTACCTTAGTAGACTAAGTAGACCATATTATGTCAGTTGTACAGTGGAATACTGTGACACCATTTAAAATAATAATGCAGAAAAATGTTGTTGGCATAGAAATATGTGCATGAAACTAAACAAAAGGGCAGGTTATCAAGCACAGAAGTCATTTGGCCCTCATTTTATAATCATAACATATACAAGTATTCACATATATTTTACATATGTACCCATGTATGTAATTCATAATTCAAAGAGGATGGCCAGTGGTTGATTTGGAACGTTTGTCATGACCAGTGATCATTTTGACTTCAAGAAGACCAGGGTAACATGCTCAGGTTGGAAGGTAGGTACTTGGGATCTCCTAATTAAAATGACAAAAGATAGATTAACCAGAGATAAAACATAAAAATTCTATTAATATTTTAATTTTATGTCAGCAGGGCTTGGTAGAAAAGAGGTAACCACCCCTATAAGTGGTTAGATTTGGGTGAATGTACAACATTTTAACAAAGGGGGATAAACTGTGAGAAATGACTTGATAAAAGACGTGGGATTGGGGCTTCCAGGTCTGCTAAACTGTGGGAAAGTGACTAGTGTATATATGAAGGGGACTAATGGAAAACGAAAGTTATTTGAGTAAGGTTTGTTCTTGCAAACTCTTCTCAGTTCTCTCAGTCTGCAGTGATAAGGGTCATGTTCCTCCTCCTGGTACAGGAGAGAGGGGAAATTCATGCCATCTTCACAAGGGGAAATGAATGCCCTGCTTTTAGGCAGAGAAAGGGCAGGGTAGAATACTTTTCTTGTATCTGTTCATTCTCAATTGCCTTCAGATCAAAATAATCTTTACACCGAAGTGGTACATTTTGGGGTGGACTACTCTGACACTCTTCTGATATAAACCTTCAGGCATTAAGTCCTTCTGGGTCCCCTAACAGAGAGCAGCAGTGTAAGCAGTGATGCTAATGAGGCCGGACAGGCTCTGTCCCCTCCCAAACTAGCTCAGGCACTTCAGAGTGGATGTGGGACGCCATTCCAGAGAATTCCCCAAAGGGACTTGGAAAGAGAGGAGTTGGGTTCACAAGGGAGAACCCACAGTGTCGTGTCGCGAGACTGGATCTTGTTAGAGTTTTGGGTACCATCCGATTTTAATTGCATTGGTTTTGGTCCCAGCCCTAATCATTTTATGAGGTTGTCATCCATCTTTCCTAAACCCAGTGGCAGTAATGTTAGGAAGAAAAATGAAATGAAATTTCAAGTGTCCCAGTGTGGCAAATAAGAGAATCTGCAGAGTTTTAAAGCACAGCAGGAAACTTCATGCAATTACAAGGAGATGTTACTAATGCATTTCATTGCTGTTGAGAAAAGAAAATATCTTCTCTTTTTTCAAATGATTCATGCACATGTTTGGGGGAGGCTTTGTAGCTGGAATATTGGGCATTTTCCTGAATTGAATACTAGTTAATTCCTGTCCATTGCTCCTTACTCTAAAGTTAGCTCTTTCTTAGGCTTAGGATTCTTCCAATTGACCACCAAATAGCTTCTTTCTTACCCACCAGCTAAATCGCACTCAATAATAACAATAATAATAATAATAATTAATAATAATAAAAGTAGGAAAAAGACAACCAGGGAATGAAGTTCTAGAGTTATTTCAAATCAACTCAAGCTGAGTTATGCACTCCTGGGAATTTAATCTTTTCCAAACTGAAGAGCCATCTGTAAGTTTGACAGGAAGGGTTTATTTAAATAGCTCTGCTTCATGCTCCCCTGAACTTCAAGATTTTAAGGACCCTTCAGCTTGAAAGTGGATGTGGCATTGGACATGACTCAATGGACAGTCAGTAAAGCACTAAGTGTTCTGAGAGCATTTGAAAACAGTTGAAATTGTTCAGCCCAGCCATGTCTAGAGTGCCCTTTACTTTCAGATTGTGGCATTTTGAAAATCAGTTTTTGCAGCAACTTGAGATTACCTATTTCTGGAATATAGTGAGATTAAGGTGGTCAGATAACATTCAGAGCACTAGTTACATCTGAATATGAAAGAACGAGTCAGTTATTAGTATAATTAATGTTTCAAATATTGCAAGGGCATAATTAAAATGTTTTTAAATCTGAAATTCAAATTTAACTCTGATATCTCTGTTTGCCAAGTGTGACAATCATTGATCATCTCTTCTTTTTGAAATTTGTACAAAACGGGGATGGGAAATTTTAAACACAAGGTTTACTACTGAAAAAAAAAAGGCAAATTTCAAATTTGAGTAAACAAGTATGTGCACTTGATAAAATTGTGTTGGGTAAATGTCTATTTGTTAAATTAAAATTTATATCATCTACCATTATCATCTTAAAATATCAGTTTCTAGTGAAATTGTGATTCATTTTCTCTTAAGCCTGGTAAAAGCATGTACAGCATAGAATTCACATCTCTAAAATCAAGGAAATGAAATAAAAGATTGTTTTGCGATGGATGTCATCCCCCTTCTTTCCAAAGGAAATCTACTATTGTATAATTGTGTAGCTTAAAATTTACTTCTATGTGCTGTTTTTCCTGAATGTAACTCATGGTTCACTTTGGAAATGAATTGGCAACTCCTTGATTTAACTATTCCAAGGGCCTTCAGGAAAAAAAGCAATTCATGAAAGACAATAGTCATTCTTCATGAGGCAGGCTGCGCATGATATGGAAATTCTTTAGGTGTTTGTTGCCTGTAGGCACTGKAGGGTTAATTGAAATATTGTTTTCTGGAAATTGGGTTGTCAAGTAGCAAGGAGAAAGCAAGATTCAGAAACTGGGGATGGGTTTGGAGGTTTTGTTTAGTTTTACTTTGTTTTTGTTGCCTTTTTCAAGGAAGATGGCATTCTGTTGATAAATGTAAATGTGCTATTGAAATATTTTATCAATGCTATTCAGTTGTACTATGTAATTACTTTCTATGCCCTTTAAAAAATACTTGCCATATAGTTGTATTTCATTTCTTTAAACACAGTTTGTTTCCTGTTCATATAATAGAWGAAGGGAAACAATTTTTATAGGAACAATCACTGTGTTAATAAAAAGACATGAAAATATTTCTAATGTATAGAAACTAGTAGTAACTTTAATTTTAAGATTTTTATTTATGGGCTGGGGATGTGACTCAGTTGTATCATACTTGCCTAGCGTGCGTGAAGTCCTGCGTTCAATCCCCAGCACCACAAAAATTTTAAAAAGAGATTATATTTAGTTATTAATGATGGACATAAGGAAATGTAAAGAAAGAAAAACTATTTGACTTTACTGGAAAAATGTTAGACATACAAAAAAATGAATTATATGAAGTCAGACTTGAAAAGAATCTTCCATTTGTGTTAGTCAGCTTTCTGTTACTATAACAAATAAATGAGATAACTTATAAAGATAAAAGGTTTATTTTGGCTCACAGTTTTAGAAGTTTTATGATGGACTGGCCAGTTGGTTTGGGGCCTGTGGAAAGGTAGCACATCATGGTAATAGTATGTGCAGAGCAAAACTTGTCACTCCATCTAAATGGCCCACCCTGCAGGGTTATGAAGTAAGTCAGTGAGAGATGAAGGTGAGGCTCTTGTGTTGAGTGAGGAGCTTTCCCATTGGAAACTTACTGGTAGATGCTCACAAGCCCTGACAGTTGTTGAACAGAGATATTATTTCTTCTCAGATGATGCCTTGGGGTCTGCCTGCTTCTCAAGCTGAACTGAATGGAGCAAGACCACAGGAAGATATGGGGAAGGAAGGAATTTAAAGATGAAACAAAAATTCTTATTTTGCCTTTTTCCTCTCCACTCCATTCCAGATTCTAAGTCTGTGGTCTGTTTCTCAAACCAGAACATTCCTAGTGCTTTCAGATCAGTATTGTTTCAGCCTTCATTTTATTGGAAGGAGGTAGGATGCTACAAAAGGTTGAGAAATTTGATCCTATTAAATATAAATTCTAGTCCAGGCCTCTCCAATGGTCAATGTGGGTGTTTATCTTGTTGTCTTGATTTACTATTTGTAAAATGCCAATATTAATGTGCTATTTGGAAAGTATGCTTCATGTCTTCAAAACATATAATGACACAATATTAAACCCAGTTTTCTCCTTTGCCCCAAGCTATCTTGGTTGCAGAAGTAAGACAAGTTTTTTCTTTTTTTTTCTAACAATAGAAAACAGCCTAGGCAACTGCTGTCTTTGCCTTTCTGTTGAAGGAACGGAATGGGAACTTGGGGCCAGATGGAATAAAGCCCCGTTGGTCCCTGCTGTATCAAAACTGTAATGTGCAGCACCAGCAAGAGATGATCCAGGTGATGGTGATGCAGGCACGGCCCACTGACCACAGTTTGCAATTTTCTCGTAGGTAGACTTGGGGTTCCTGCGCTTTGTCACTGCTGTGGGCACACAAGGTGCCATTTCAAAGGAAACCAAGAAGAAATATTACGTCAAGACCTACAGAATAGACATTAGCTCCAACGGGGAAGACTGGATCACCATAAAAGAAGGAAACAAACCTGTTGTAAGTTTGGCGGGCCCCCCCCCCCTCCAGCAATTCAGTCTCTTAAATGGATGATCAATTTTTACTTGTTTGTTGGGGGAGCTTTCTGTCTGGCCTGGTTTATTTTTGAATTGATTTAAAATGAAAAGTGCAATTAGAGGTTTAAATCTGACCAAGGGGGTCTCATGTTCCCAGATCCAGAAGCCAAGAGGAAATTATACAGATGTTTCCAAGAAAAGTCAATACCAGGCAAATTAAGTGACAGTCTCAAGAATCACTTGAACCCTCCCCCCGGGAACACAGACAATGCATAGGATCAACACTGTCCTCTTAGAATCTTAAGAGTTCTGTCTCTCTTCTTTCTTCCCTCTCTTTCATAGGTTAGATTCGTTCTTTCTGTAACAGGCACGTTTTAGAAACCACCTTTTTCATCTACATTAGTGGTTTACAAACTAATTTACAAGTGCCTTTGGCTGCATCTTGTAAGAAGGGATAGAACTAAAGGTATTCGCTGTGTTCCCTCAGATCACACAAATGACATGCTGCCCTCTTCCTGCTTTTAACTGAGGAGGTAGCTCAGACCACCCTGCGTCCCCCAGCTCTCGGCAGCCGTTCGTTTGCACCCATGGTCTGTCTTTCTCAGTCTGTCTGTTTATTTGAAGTGATACTTGCTCTGATTTACTAATCAAAAGATTTTTGAGAATTCATATTCACTGTTTCTCCCAAATTAAAAGCTTCCCCTGGAGGCTGAATAAAATACAAAAACAAAAATGAAAAAAAGAATTATATTAGAGATAGCAGCAAAGATTCAGGTAACTTGAGATGGTGGGCTTGGAAAGAGGCCAGTGAATACATCCTTGTCTCACTTTTGAGCATTCTTGGCCTGGAGTTTCTCCTTTTGGGTCTGGAACTGAGAAAAGCCTCTGGAGGTTGAAGTGAGCAAAGAACCATTAATTCCCTTGATTAGCAGCAAAATCTCCCACTCTTGGTTGGGAAGGCAAGATGGAAGCAGATATCAGTGGACAACTGCTCGTGGGAGGAAGTCTCTGTGGACAGACAAGGTCAAGGCCTGTCTGGCCCTGCGGGACGTGGAACCTGTTCTCCATCTGGGGAAGAAAACTCCTCACAGTCAACACATATGGAGATTAAGCAAGTCAATTATGTCCCTAAGTTTGAACTTCTTATTTTAGAGTAGATTTTTGAAGATGTGCATTAGTTAAAAATAAACAAAACCTCACGAATGCCAAGTATGCATTTACAAACAAAAGGAACCCAGAGAGAGGGGTTAAAAAAACCTTACACACACACACACACACACACACACACACACACACACACACACACACATTTTTTTTTAAAGGGCTATTTCTCCCAGTTGTCCTCTTCAGCCACTGTCCACTGGTTGATCTTCTGTGGTTCAGAGGGGGCTGTCAGAGAGCCCACCCAGAGTCACAGGGGATGTCTCAAAGTGCACACGGCTCACACTAGGAACACCCTGGCACACGGCAGGGCTTCTAGGGTTGGAGGCAGAAAGAAATAAGGAAGGATTCGCAGAGATGTAGACTTGTCACCTGGCTGAGCAGTTTAATTGAATCTAAATGAAACAAAAACATCCAGCTGGAGTCAAATTATTGCTACCTTTCCTTTTTTTTTTTTTCCTGTATTTTGGGAGTTTTCAGCCAAAGGCCTCTACAATCTTTCCTATTTTCTCAGGGAGCATTGGATGGACCTCATCAAGACCAGCCTTCACCGAGTAACAAGTCCAATAGGCCCCTCTCAGCAGGACAGTATGTGTGTGCTCATGGGGTTTGCCACAAGCCACGTGAAACTCCCTCAGTGTGAGCAAAATGTGAACCTCCTAGATGAGCACTCAGCACTCCCAAACAACTTCCGGTCTCTTTGGCAAGGGGGCTCGTGGACCTTCTAAGGAGAGCAACAACTTTTGGGGCTCTTCCCCTTCCGGCAACTACCCATTATTTCCTGCCACACAAAAAATGCTCCCACACATATTGTTTCCAGAGAGGGATGCTGCAATAGGACAGAAATCTAAAGGGCATCACAGGCTAGGATAAATTCTGATGTTAAATTGTCTCTTGAGAGGCTCATGCAGATAACCAGTTCTGTGATGCATTTGACTGCCTTCAGTTAGGCACGCCACTTAAACTAAAGTGAAGCAAAAACATTTTGCTTTTGCAAGCCCAACTTTTACAAGCCCTTTCTCTTGGGGAGAAGAGCACACCTTGGGAAACACCGGTTCTTCTTCATGTTCTTATCTGGGAAGCTGGAGAGAATCTGCACATCCCTGGTGGGCCCATGCTCTTAATGATGTCACCTAAGAGGTTGTACAGAGAGGTACAGTGCTACCTACTCAAAGCACAGGACTATCCTTGATCCAGAATTGACATTAAAATCTCAGGAATGGAGACTCTCACTTATACCCAAGTATAACTGCCAGAATGTTCCACAAGGCAAACAGTCTCATTCCTCAGAGATCTTTTGGAGAATGCTGCCACAGCCTCATGGCCAGGCAGAATGGCCCAAGGTTACTTGTGGGAAATTGGTTCTTGCCTGGCACTCTTTACATCTGCAATCCCGTGTCTCATCTTTCTTAGACTAAAATGACTTTTTTTTTTCTTTTTGGTACCAGGGATTGAACCCACCGGCATTTAACCACTGAGCCACATCCCCAGCCCTTTTTATATTTTTATTTGAGACAGGGTCTTGTGAAGGTGCTTAGAGCTTTGCTAAGTTGCTGAGGCTGGCTTTGAACTTGAGATCCTCCTGCAGCAGCCTTCTGAGTCATGGGGACTAGAGGCATGAATTACTGTGCCCGGCTAAAATGAATCATTTTTAAAACTAGAAGCAGAAACCCTGAAAAGGCTGACTTAGTTAAAAAGCATGTGTAACTCCGTTTAGTTTTGGCCACTAAAACCTAATTTTACCAAGGAACCAAAAAAATTAGTCATTAATTCATGTCTGGGGTGAAATCTCTCATAAAAGAACAGAGTCAAAAAGGAAGCTAGTACCTGACTTATTATGATAGTGTGAGAACATAACCTACAACCTCAAAAAGCCATACACCACACTGAATTCAAAAAGCATTCTTTCTGAGGGTCCCTGGGAAAGGAAATGTCTTCAGTATTCTGCAGTCCTCTGAGAAAGCTAATAACTTCCCACTTTTTAAGATAAAAGCATGTGCCTTTTAATAAATGTCATCCTTGTAAGTGATTTTAGAGGCTGTAGCCTCTCAGAAAATTGAATAGATAATTAGGACAACATTCTATATTTGACATGATTCTTTCTGATTACCATCATTTGGAAAAATAACATGACAAGTTATTAACGCCACTTCAACTTGATAGACAATGCTGAAATTGTAAATAATTTTTACAAGCATTTGTGAAAATACATTTTTTATTTGTTTTAAATACAAATTTTCTGTGATTAAAGGACCCTTTCTTCTCCCATAAAGATCTTTCAGGGAAATACCAATCCCACCGACGTTGCTCTTGGAATTCTGCCCAAACCACTGATAACACGATTTGTTCGAATCAAACCCATGACTTGGGAAACTGGCATATCTATGAGATTTGAAGTATATGGCTGCAAGATAACAGGTAAGCTCCAGTTGAAGATTGCTTGGTTTTGATTGGTGCAAACCATCATAGGCAAGGAGAATAACTTGGTAATAATGTGATCACTTTTAGTTAGTAGTTAAGAGTATACACTTTGGATCCTTTACTACCCATTATTCTGCTTCTTTGGACAATATCCTTACATCTCAAAGCCTAAGTTATCTCACTTGGAAAATAGTTGTAGAACATGAACACCATGCAGGCTACTTGTGATATGGATATGAAGCATTTAAGCCCAGTCTGGCAGGTAGCAGAAATTTGTTTCCTGGTACCTTTTCCACTAGGTTGTATGCTCCATGAAGACAAGCTTCATGCCTTCCATCTCTGCTTCCTAGGTGTGCACTTCACTGATGGGTACTTGGTAGATTTATAGCAAATAACTGTTTCAGAAAATGTTCTCCACTGACTTTCTCTTTTTAATTTTGAAACACAGTGATCATGKCCTAGGAACTTAACCAATACGGATAAGCCTCAGTTAAGGAATTTAACTGATGAGAATTTCTCCTTGTAATCACTAACTATCCAGACTCTCCTATTTTTTGTTGAATGAGCACCTTAAAATACTTAGATGGGAAATCAACTCATAAATGTTTGGGTTTTTATTTCAATTTGTTTCTTCAAACATCAATAGGACTTTAAAAGTCCCTGTTAAATGTGGAATATTCCCATTTGAGAGATGAAGAAAGTGAAATACAAGAGATCAAGTGATGGAAGAAGTAGGTTAGGTCAGGACAGAGTGGTGTGACTGGAATTCTTACTGTGTTTTCATGGTCATCAGCGCTGCAAGGGCTTGTCCATTGATCTCATTGTACAATTATTCTTTATTCTGATGTAGATAACAGTAATGTTGGAATTCCTTACTGCTTAAGTAAATACGTTGCAAAACTTTCATTAAAAAAGCAATGGCAATCCAAAAACCAATACAAATGTAATCTTTGTAGTAAGCTTCAAAGTTTAAAAACAGATCAGTAGACGATCCACTTAAAGGTAATTAAAATTGAATTAACTTCCAAACTTCTGTGAACCATCTTTCAGTATTCTATCAGTGTACATATTTAGGATATTTAACTTTTTAACTTCACTTTTATATTTATTCTCTTAGTATGATTCTTTTTAGAGAAAAAAATACTGACTTTTGAAGGGGGGGGGAAAAGGAACCCCAGAATTTTCCATGAAAGTACAAGCAATTTGAAGATGAGCTAATGAAGGGAAAATACATTTGTTCACGGTAGAGTACATTTCGGAAAATAAAAACCACATCTGACTCCACACCAAATTTTTATTTATTTCCATCTCAGAGGCAGACTTGTTTATTGTCTTAGAATTTAAGAATTAGAAAGTTCAAGGACTTGGAGGCAGGAATTGTGTGGAGAGAGGTTTGGAAAAGAAGAAGAAAAAAAAGAACACTGAAWATTAGACATAACCTTGGCTTTAGTTTTGATCAGCAGTTGAATGTCAGAAAGTTCTACATCATTTCAGAGCATTACAAATTTGAGAGACTACCCATAAATTTGTAGGATTAGGGCCACTTGAGGTCTGAGTAGAAATTTCTGGCCCATTTCTCCAACTTTATCTCATATCATTATATTTAATAAATGAAGTAAACKTCATAAAGACTCCAGATATGTTGGGCTGAACTCTGAATTTCCAACCTTTTAACGATTTATGTCACATTCTTTTACTTATTTAAAATATTTATTTGAACCCAAATTGTCCTTTTTAATTTTCATAAAGACATTCCCAAGAGGAAATTCTAGGAATGTGAGCAAAGAAGGCAAATAATTTATTGGATTTTAAAACTGGCTAAATGACTTAGTTATTTAGAAATAGATGTCTAAAAACCGTATTCTAATATTTTTAAACATAGTCTATTTTATAATTATGGTAAATAGCTAATTTTGTTTTTCAAATGAAGTACTGCCTGTACTTTTAAACATGACCCCTAGTGTAATTTAAATACTTTCTCTCTAGTAAGATAGCTAGAATCTCAAAATAACTGATCTGGGATGGTTTTATGAGAGGCCAGAATATAGTGATGGCCACATGAATAGAGGGTGTATAATCATATCCAGGTTTGACTCAGGACTGTCCACTTAGCGAATGTCTGACCATGGGCAAGACATCTTGTTTCTCTGATGTCCATTTCCTGATCTATAAGATTAACCTTAATGTAGCTGTAAGGGGAATTAAATGAAAGCATATTCACAATATACCTGGCTTTCAGTGAGTGCTCACTAAATGGTACCCAGTAATTTAAAGTAGGATGTGGTATTCCATAAATTGAAGCTAGAATAAGCCCTCGCATGGAGACCTTCTAATAAGACAGTATCAGTGTTTCCTCTTGGTTATGAGAGCAGAAAATTTCCTTCTTTTGAGGTCATGGTCCCCTTAGCATGGAGATTAATGAATGAGTAGAACTGAAGTATCCCCGCTGGACTAGAAAATTCATGAAAGCAAGGCCTCAGTTACCTTATTTTCCATTGTGTCCTTTATACCTGTAACACAGGTATACAGTAACACAATAAGCACTCTGCGGTTATTTTTGAACGAATATACAGTTCTATCCATGCCTTCTAACAAGGAAGTGACCTCAAATTTTTTACCCTATCCTGTTGAGTAGGCAGATCCTAACAGTCTAGATTTGAAAAACAAAAAACTACAAAATTAAAAATTACTCTGTGAACACATCACAATGACCATCTTAGATGCTGCAGCTAAGTCACTGAGGAAAGAGTAGCTTATTCTCATTTAGGGCCTCCCATCAAATGCAGTTATTATTTTCTCAGTCTTTGAAAACTGGTTAAATGGATATTTGATTTACCAAGATGTCTCAGTTTTTCCATTAAATCTAAGTATTATATGCATTAGTAGCATGGCTCAGGATGGTTTAATTTTTAGGCTATATTTTTTAAATATATATATATATATATATATATATATATATATATATATATATATATATCAGTCCCCTACTATAAAATTTTTTCTCCCTCTCATCCAGGATTGAATGTTCACTTTCCCAACAGGTTGCTGGGTAAAATGCAGAATGTTCAGTGAAGATAAATAATGAATATTTTTTATATAAGTATATCCTCAATATTGCATGGTATATATTTTTTAAAGTATTCATTATTTTTTATGAAATTCTTATTTAACTGTGCATCCTATTTTTTTTTCATTTGTTTGTTTGTTTGCTAAATCTGGCAACTATTTCCAAATGTTTTGTATAGTTAGGCTAAACTACATCTGAACCAACCTACCTATGGAAGAATGCAGTTTGAAACTAGCATCTCAGTCAATTGAATTAATTGCTAATATAATTTTTCTCCTAATTATTAAAAGTAAGTAACATAGTTATTGGTCAAAGGCAGATTAAGGTGGCCCTTCATGGTTGTTTTGGATGAAGTAGACATAAAGAAGGAATAGCAGGTCAACCTTGCACTATGAATATTACGTTAGCTGAATGGTGGCTCAGTGGCCCACAGTTTGTGGAGATATAAACTGTGCCTCAGCCAGCTCAGCATTAGAAAAAGGGCATTGATCTGGTGAAGGTTCTGTTCTCCTTACAATACTCAAGTTAATTATGTTTTTCTACAAATGGTAACATCTGGTCCCCATTACCAACTGAACATTGACTTTATAAGAGCTGGTCTTGAATCAGGCAGGTGTGACCACAGTGGCCAAAAAAATGTGACTTCTATTTTTAACACTATAGTTTCATACATAGTCCCTCAGTAACATACCTTTTGTAAATCTTTTTTTTAATCCCCATTGAGTTTTTTTTGGTTTCAGATCCCAGCCTGGAGCAAATACTGTGGCTGAATGACAGGAAAGGGTACTTGAGAAAATGACAGCTGTCTTTTATTGTATTAATAAGTTGATTCATTCAACAAATATTTGCTGAGGACAACAGTCAAAGAATGACAGAAAAAATAAACGATTTGGTTCATGCCCTCAACAAAATTAAAATCTGAGGAGGCAAAAAGCAGCAATTTAAAGAAGTGAAAATGTTGATAAATTATTGTGAAGAATCCCAGAAAAGGAAAACTATGTCTACTTGCAGAGATTCAAAATGTTGAAGAAATGATTTGGCATTTGAAAACGAGTCATTATTTTTATGCAGATCAGATAGTGGAAATGGCAAAATAATGGGGGAATTCTTAGTGGAGAGAATGAATGAGAGAAAGCTTTCCCTAAGGACAGGAAGTACTTCATCTCAATTGGCTCATGTAAAAGGGGTAGATGAGGAGAGGCCTTGTATGAATGTGAGGTAGAAGGTCTGGCATGCCTGATTGAAAACTACGTGCATAATTCCTAGACAAGCAGGCACTGAAGAATTGACATGATCGGAACTGTCCAACTCATGTGGAAAGTATCTGAGTAATTAATTCTTAAGGGTCAGCTGATAACATGAGTGTAGTTTAATTGCATTAGAAGCATGCCTCTTGCTCAGGATGGTTTTATTTTTAGGCTATATTTTTTTTTTTTTACTATTAGCATGGGGAATTGAGTTGTTTCAATGAAAAGTAGATTATCATCCCTAGGCAGGTTCTTGATTGAGATGTATGATTTTAAAAGGAGAATAATTGAAGCATTGGACACTTTCTTATTAGGCCACCAATCACTTAATCAATAATTGATGCTCTATGCTCAAAAGCTACTTGAGTTGGTGTAGAAGATATGAAAAGGTCTATGATGTTGTTTATTGCCTTTGAGGATCTTAAAATCTTGCTGCAGATAAAAGATTAATAATCGTAAACCAATACAGTTCAGTGCTAGGCTCTGGGCTCCTTTCCATACCTGCCACCATATTTCTGGGGAGGAATGTCTCAAAATGAAGACGAGAGTATCTTGAGAAATTTCCATGGTAAGTCTAAGCTGGATTTTAAAGTCTGGGCAGAATATTCCTGTCAACATGAGGAGAGGAGGGGTGGCAGGAACACATTGAGCAAAGGCAGTGATGGGGTTATATCTAGGGTACATGAAAAGAGAACTAACTGGAATATGCTGTTAGTACTTAGATAAAAATAGATAAGTGAGCTAAAACCAAAATGAAAGTCTTGAAAACCCAGATAGAAATTTTTGATATTTTCCTAGAAATAATGGAAAGCCATGGTATATATTTTAAAGATCTCTCTTTTTTATTATATGGTAAAGTATATGACATACAATTTACCACTTTAACCAATTTTAAATGTACAACTCAGTTGTAGTAAGAACAGTTGCATTGTTGTACAACTACATTACCCATTGTCAGAACTCTTTAATCATCCTAAATTAAAACTCTACCCATTAAACACTGATTCCCATTTTCTCTCCTCAGCCCAGTCCATCCAATGGTCATTCTACTGGCTGTCTCTATGAATATGACTATTCTAGGAACCTCATATTAGTTGGGATTATGCAGAACTTGTCCTTTTATGTCTGTCTTATTCTATTTGGTAGTGGGAGCTTTTTGAGCATGAGAATGACATGGAAAAATCAACATTTCATGAAAATTTATGTCTAGCTGTTAGTGTAGTCTAGATGGAGAACCTGGGTGTAGGAAGCCAATTACACTATCATTTAGCCCCCTACCTATGGCTACTCAGATCATGATGATGCCCAAAGAAACAGAAAGTGCAAGAGGCAACCTCAAGCTTGTTTTTTTTTTTTTTAATGAAATCATGACAGTATTTGATAGCAAAACAGAAGTGCAAAATAAGAAAAGACAAGATGACCAGGCAGAAACTAGGTAATTGGTGATGCCACCAATTAAAATTCAGAGTTCAGTAAAGGGATTCAGTGTCAATGGAAAGAACTAGTTTAGTCTGCACATGGCACATTTGAGATGACAGAAAGATATTCAGGTGGAAAGTTCCTAATTCAATTGAAAAGAAGGATGAGGAGGGGGAAGATGATTACTGTTCTTCAACACTCAACCCAAATGTCACCTCCCAGAACTCCCTTCTTCTCTCTCCAAGCTCAATCAAGCTCTGTGTTTTCACCTCCTTATCATCTTCTTTTTATCTTTGTTTTAGCAACTCTCTCAATATGGGTTTTGCTTTTTTATATATCTCCAACTGATGGTTAATTCTGAATTTCTTTTGGGCAGCACCTATCCTTGATCTGGGAATAACTTCTGAATACTAATGGGACTGAACCCTCCAGAGTTGGACATTAAATGCAGCAGAACTAAAAATAAGCAGGGAGAGGGAGTGTGTGTCTTGCTAAAAATTTTCTTTACTGGGATATGAATGAAGAAAGGGGAAATTCTGTAAAAGTAGGAGAAAGGTTTAAGGGAGGGAAGGCTCTGGTGTAATATAAAATAATCCAAAGACTGAAAACATATGAATGGATAGAAGACACTGTCTTTATTCAAATGATTGCATTTTCTTTCTAGAAACTATTTTCCCATAAAATAATTTTGCATTATCTGTTTCTTTCCACCTCCTAGATTATCCTTGCTCTGGAATGCTGGGCATGGTGTCTGGACTCATCTCSGACTCCCAGATTGCCGCATCCAACCAAGGGGAGAGAAACTGGATGCCTGAAAACATCCGCCTGGTAACCAGTCGCTCTGGCTGGGCACTGCCGCCTGCACCCCACCCCTACGTCAATGAGTGGCTCCAGGTGGACCTAGGAGAGGAGAAGATTGTGAGGGGCATCATCATTCAGGGTGGGAAGCACCGAGAGAACAAGGTGTTCATGAGGAAGTTCAAGATAGGGTACAGCAACAATGGCTCCGACTGGAAAATGATCATGGACGACAGCAAGCGCAAGCCCAAGGTGAGGTCCAGCTAAGAGGTTCCCGTCGAAGTTCTTCCTCAATCCCGATTTAAGTCAAGGACTTCCAGCATTTTCTTGAGGAATGGCTCATTCTTATTTTGTCAATAGGACCCCAACTCTAAGGAAAAACGAGAGTATAGGAATGAAAGTGATGTCTGAGGTCAACATGGAAAAGAATTGCCCTTTCCCTCTTTAGAGGGAAAAGTCTCAGCTCAACATTCAGATGGGAGGTAGATAAGAGTGAGGTTCGGAGCTGGGGCTGACTACAGACTCTACTTTGTCTGTTTGGTGTCTTTTCCTCTTCTCTCATTCACCGCTGAATTAAGAGTTCAATTTTTAAATTATTTATGTAGTTTTACAGTGCTGGGATCTAACTCAGGGCATTGGGCGTACTAGGCAAGCATTCTACCACTAAGCTGCAAGCCCAGTCCCTTTTTTAAATTTTTAGTTGTGATAAAATACACATAATTTAAAATTTATCATCTTAATCTTTTTAAGTGTGCAGTTCAACAATGTCAAATAAATTCATATTCTTGTGTAGCTAATTTCTAGGACTTTCACATCTTGCAAAACTGAAATTCTGCACCGATTACATAACAACTCTGTTTCCCCCTCTTTCTGTGGCAAGCACCATCCTATTTTCTGTCTCTATGAATTTGACTACTCTAGGAGGCTAGAGTATCATACAATACTAGAGTAATACAGTATTTGTCCCTTTGTGACTAGCTTATTACACTTAGCATTCTGTCCCCAAACTTCTACCCTTACTGCAGCGTGTGTCAGAATTTCATTCCTTTTGAAAGCTGAATAACATTCCATTGCATGTATACACCAAATTGGTTTGTCCATTCATCCATGGATGAACACTTGGGTTGCTCCCATCTTTGAGCTACTGTGAATAATGCTTAAGTATATTTTTGATGTATTTGGAACCTTTTAAAATGCAGTTGGCTCTTAATAATCCAGTGAAAACAGAAGGGAATCTCAAGATAAAAATATTCCAATATTCATAAAAACATGTGGCATAGTTCTTTAACTGAACAGATATGCTTACATAATCAACTTTTACTTAGGCTGATGGTTACATTTGCATTTCCTGAGTACACAACACCAACTTGGAAAGATTCCCCAGGAGTCTGCAGGGTGGCCCAGAAGTGGGTTTAGGATTAAAACAAGGATCAACCCACAGGCAATCATCAGCTTAGTTTCTTAGTTTCAATATGAGAATTGTATTCAGCTGATGATACTTCTCACACCAACACAATTGGCCTTTTGGCCTTAGCCTTTCCGTCTCTGCTTTGCCCAGGACCTTTGCAAAAAAAGAAAATTTAGCTTATTGGAGGGAATATTGTTCTTGCTTTATCCTTGCTCCCACTCTACCAAGTGTAGTATAGTGACTCAGGCCACAGGCATCTCAGGCAGGAAATATAACCCTGGCTAGTGCTGCCAGCTCCCACTCCCTCCAGATGTGGGGCTCTGAGAAGACCTCCCTGTCCTCTATGGACTGCAGGTCAGCATCAGAACAACTGGCCACCGACAGAGCTGGTACTCTCAGAAGAGTAAGAAATTCTCCACCATCTCTCCCTGTTTTAATTTGTGGGTTCTAAAAATTTTCAGTGCTATATTTACCTTTGTGTAGCTACTTTCTTTTCTGTGTCCATTTCCCTTTCCCCTTTTATGTCTACCTCTCTCATCCTGGTGACTAAGAAAGGAAAATAAACATCAGAACTGGAGATTCTTATAAGTTGGTCTTTTCTGAGGAGCAGGGAGCATTATGATTTCATCAGAGTGTGAATATGCTACAGATCAGCAASTTCCAGGGGCTGCTGTCAATGGCAGAGTGTGCTGTTGTGACACATTCTTCAACACTAGAGTTCTGAGAGAGACAGAAAACAAATCACCATATGCTTTTGATAGGATGCATCATATGCTTGCCTTCTTTGTTATCTAATCCACGCGTCTGCAATCGAGCCTAAAGCTATCATTCTATTGTAGTAAACCGAGTACAGAATTCCACAAGAAATCCATGCATGTGTTTTAACTTTAACAAAATGCTCAACTCAAGATTGGTTGAATGTGTTGGGTTTTATTCCTAAAATATCCATCATTATCATCTTCCTATGATATTTAAAACCATGAAAGCTTGTAAATTGTTTATGTAGAGACTAATCTATGATTCCTAACATGCCCTTCAAATAAAACCTCTAAAGATGAAAAAGGAAACTGATAAAACCTTCAATTTTAGAGCAGCACATAGTTTTAATTATATAAAGATGTTTAAAACATATTTTTATCGTACATCCTACCTGCTTAGGATGCCAAGTACCTTTTAAATAAAAGTAAAATGAGTACTCTGTCTCATAAAATAAAACAGTGCTTTGATAGGTATAAAATCCTCTTGCCCTCCCCTTCCTTCCCACAAACAGTGCATGATGGAGAAGGTATTGACCCTTTAAATTAACTAGACTTTTCAGGAACTGATAGAGCCAAACAAAGCCCTTGTCTTCTAAAATATAATTAGTTGCAGAACACCATGGTAATTCATAAGCAGGTTTCTGCTATCAAAATTAGTCCAGGTCCATATGGGTTTGAGTTGTGAGTATTCTGCCCAGCTCACTACTGACAGCTTTTATAATATATTTACAGTGTGTCAATTCTATGCTCAAGTTAAAATTAAGAGAGGAGCCTGGGATTCCATAGATACCAATGCTTTTCTCCTGTGATCTTTGGAGTTATCTTCACAGACAGACTTTGCACGTGTGCAATGGTATTTTCATTATAATTAGCATCTTACTGACAACAACTTAATTGGGCCTAACAATAATATATGTCAGATTCTCAATTACTGGCGGCAATTGCAGTTATATCAAGAGTGCAGGACCCTGATAGTGATTCACTCTTTAAAATAATAAAAATAGAAAAAAACTAATTGTGAGAAGTAGCTTTATGTTAGCATTTTCAGATTCCTGGTAAGTTTTCTGTTGGAAAAGACCAATCGATTTACTTCTATAACTCAGAAACCCCCTGGTCATATTACAGCCTGTCCAATGTGTCACCACGTATGTGCTTCCACTCTCTTGTCATAGCATTTACATCTCTAAAAGATCACATCCTTTGCAGCTCTGTGATGTCTTGACCAACTATTGGGTCTGGTTCCCATTCATGACTGGCACAGCCTTAGGGGCCAAGCAGTCCATCTGAGCTACCAGTTCTAGTAGCCAGTTGTCACCAGCTAAATACAAATTAATGAAACTATATTTCCTTAGGCGTGGGCTTTTTTTGGACTTCAGTGTTCTCACCTATTAAAATGTAGGCCAATTGTGGTGACCTGTGCCTATAATCCCAGGTATATGGGAGTCTGAGCTGAGAATCACGTGAACCCATGAGTTCAAGACCAACCTGGGCAACAGAGCAAGATACTCTCCTTCAAAAATAGATAGATAGATAGATAGATAGATAGATAGATAGATAGATAGATAGATAGATGAACAAATAAAATAAGGAGTCTAGACTATGTGATTTCTAAGAGCAGAGATGTCTTAATCCCAGTTAAGACTGGCTGGGTGCTAATCCTAGCTCTGCTCCTTACTGTTTACATGGCTGAGGCAAAGTCCTTGAGCACTCTGCTGTCAGTTTACTCATCTGTGAAAGATGAAGAATAATAGAATTTACCTCCTGGAGTTGTTTTGAGGAATAAATAGGTTAATATATTTTAAGCACTTAGTGTGTTACACTAATGAACACCACAATAGAAAATTTATTTTTCTAATCTTCCTCCCCTTCTTCCATTCTCAACAGATTCAAGAGTGATTTTTGGAGAAGAGGGTTTTTTTTTTTTTTTTGAGGTTTATTCATTTCTTGAAAAACAAATGAGGCCTAATCTTCACTCCAGTTTCTTTTGATTCCACCCAGTGATTTTTACCCTCCTGTTGATGTAACAAGGGAAATAAATTCACCCAGCAATAGTGCTGGCAATAGGGGCCTATCTCCTAAAAAGGGTCACAGTGCCTTCAAACGAGGCATGCATGCATTTCAAAAGGGGTGCCAATGCATACTACAATTCAACCAGGAATCAGAGTATTCCTGGGTAGTCAGGACCCTGGTTACTTTCCTGAGATGAGGTCTTTTATCTACACAAGTGGTAGATAAAAGACCTCCAACAAGTGGTACTTAAGAATTTCAGTGAGGGGCTGGGGATGTGGCTCAAGCGGTAGTGCACTCGCCTGGCATGCGTGTGGCCCGGGTTCAATCCTCAGCACCACATACAAACAAAGATGTTGTGTCCGCCGAGAACTAAAAAATAAATATTAAAAAAAAAATTCTCTCTCTTTCTCCTCTCTCATTCTCTCTTTAAAAAAAAAAGAATTTCAGTGAGTTGGAATAAACCACATTCTTCATAAGCAGCCTTTGCACTCCATTAAATTGACTGCCTCTAGACTGGGGGTGTAGCTCAGTTGGTAGAGAGAGTACCTGGCATACACAAGGCCTTGGGTTCTATCCCCAACACTCAAAAAAAATTACTATCCTCTACTTCAGGAATTTAATTTCTTCTCTTCCAGAGAACCAAGTTTTACCAAAATTACGACCCTCTCATTTAAGTGAATGTAATTGTAGTATTCATCGAAAATGTGGTTATCTATTATAGACTCTGGAAACGACTAGTTTTCTTCCTGAGTTATCTTCCTCCACCTCACCTATCAGGGTAGTGATAAAAGTGTTACTTCTCCAAGGTATGTCAGTATATCATTCAGAAATATGTCTCATTAAATGCTCAGTTTCTGGCATAGCCTCAGTGCTTCAGTGTGTACTATGGGGCTCCTGTGAAATGACATCTGTCACCTCTTAGAGAGGGTTTGTTTTTTTCTTTCTCATTTATGAAAGAAATGTTCACCATTTTCAAAGTGGTAGAATGAGGCCTATTTCTCTACTCTCTGAGGAGTCCTAAAGGAGGTGAAAGAGTTCAGGAAGTACCATCCCCAAATCTGCCCCTCTGGACTTCAAACTCTAGGGCGCTTGGGGCACAGGATGTGCAAGGAAGGAATTTCTCTGGACTTCCTTATCTGCCTAAAGAGGTATCCTCCAAAGGAACTCAGCTGCTATGAATCCTGTCCCAGGAATCTCATCCACTAAGGAAGAATAAGATCAATTACAGAAAAAGAGAACAGCGGTCAATACCTCACCCAGACAGACATGTTATCAGCTATTCTTCCAAGAAACCATTCATCTTTTCGAAGTCATTTACTAAGTTTCCTACATTGCCCCCCCACACACCTAGGAAGAGGATATGTGAACTTCTAGATCTTGCTGAGTACTCAGTCAGTTATCTAGCATGTTTTACCTCTATACATATGTAAGAAACTTGTGCACCTTTTAATCTATCTACTGTTAGTTTATTTCATAGACTCAATTATAGAACCCTTAAACATAGAGGAAAAGTTTTTATTCTGCAGAGGGTAGAAAAACAACAAAAAAGGAGGTTTCTTTTTAAATACCTTGTGTTGTTTATGCTTCACAGTCTTTTGAGGGCAACAACAACTACGACACACCTGAGCTACGGACTTTTCCACCTCTTTCCACACGATTCATCAGAATCTACCCCGAGAGAGCCACTCATGGCGGACTAGGGCTAAGAATGGAGCTGCTGGGCTGTGAAGTAGAAGGTAATTACAATTTCCAGAGTCCCTTCTAGTTTCCTCCTTTTTTATTTCCCTTTTCATGCATTTCTGCCTCTGATGGTGCTTTTGCAAAATTGCCACCTTTTCACCCAGGTGACCCCTCCATCTCCTTGCCTGTCAATCAGTGAGGCTCAACATTCTAGCATATACCATGAAGCAGCACCTTCAGAATCTTCCTTTTATGTTAGTTGTTTGCATAACTCTCCTCAGATTCTATAGAATTGTAGCTCTTGACTTTTTAATCATAATTGTTTGAGGTGAAATTTGCATAACACAAAATTCACCATTTTAAAATAAACAACCCCAGGACACTTACTACCTTCATAATTTTGTTGTAAAACCACCATGTCTTTCAAGTTCCAAAACATTTCTCTTACTGCAAAGTAAAACTTCTTACCCATTAAACAGTTTCTCTTCTATTACTCCTTTCCTTAACCTACCAAGTCCTTTGACTTTTTAATATTGTTTAGAATTCTGTATCAGATCTAAGTTTCTGTCTGTGATATTGACTACTGTCACCTACTAGCAGGAAGCAGCATTTGACAAGTAAGACATCAAGACTTATCTTGGATGAATTTCTTAGTCTGCTGCAAATTTCTTAGAAACAAAGCTTTACATGAGATCATGTGTATGAAAGTATGGTTGGATCTGTTTAAAAATATGACTATATACATTTAGATGGTTATATGAAGGTCATAACAAGGACAAATCCAGTACACACACTGACCTCAGGTCTGCACTCTCTTTTAACATATAATGATTGAGATGGATGTTTTGAGTTGGTTATTGTACCATTTACTGCTTTTGTGCATTAGAATTCCCATCTGCCTTAGATTTGGGCATAAATGAGTAACCTTACACCGGCTTTCCTATACCATAGAGATTTTTTTTTTTCCTCCAGGTTAGCTTGAAGAATGGCTATTGTTGGTACCCAGATGTTAATCAATTGAGCATATGCTCATAGTTGTTTCAAAGAATGCTTTTTAATATCACCTTGTTTGGGTTTCAAAATTATTTGTGTTTTGAGCTAACCAAAGGTAATTACATTCCTAAGCACATTATATACCTTGAAATTTTTCCTCTGCACTACAGGATCTYAAGTTTTCTATCAATCACTATGCTAGTGAATAATTCATGGCTACTTTTCTATGTGTTTATTTAAATACCTTACATTATCTCCCACTCTTTTACTGGGTGGTTGTTTCCTTGTCTGTAGCCATGCCCCAGACCTCTGAATTAGCCAATCGTTARGAGCACAAACCAAGAATGACCATGTGACAAGGCTTTGGCAAAGATGCCAAGAGAAAGAAGGGATGGACAAATAGACCCTACTTACAGACACATTTATTCTTTGCATGAGAAATGTGGTCATCTAGAAAAGGGAGGCTTGGTGCTACCAGGTGGGTGTTTAACCTAGATTCTGGAAGGCAGCAATGATTTAGGAGGTGGAATGAATAGACAGTTGAAAACACTGAGCCTTGTGGCAGTTTGCCAGTGTCAACTCAGTAGTGAGTGAGCTAGAAATCGTTGGTGAAGGGATTTGACTGCAGATGTTTCCAGGCACTCAAGAAAACGAGGAAGTCACCCCGAGTCATAAGAGAAACCAAAATCTGAGGAGAGTAGTGGCAAAGTATTTTTTAACACAATTGGTGAAAGGGACTGTTATTCTTTCCCCTTAAATTGATCGACAAGACTTATTAAATATCTGCTTTGCCTCTTGTTCTATGGGAAACACCTAAAGGGACACAGAGAAGATGAGGTACACGATCCAGGCTTCCATGAGTGTCTTTCCTATTTTGAGGGAGCACTTAGATATCGAAGAAACAGAGAACCACAGAAGATAAAATATTTTCAAGTAGGGAAACTGGGGCACAAAAATCATTCACTTTGTACATTTTGCTATTGAACCTAGGCACTGTCCTGGATTACTTTCAGTATGGAACTTCTCTCTTTTAAAAAAAAATATTTATTTCTTAGTTGTAGTTGGACACAATACCTTTATTTTATCTATTTTTTTGTGGTGCTGAGGATAGAACCCAGGGTCTCACTCGTGCTAGGCAAACACTTTACTGCTGAGCCACAACCCAGGCCAGACTTCTCGTTTCTAAACAGCATTAGGAATGCAGAAAAATCAGTAAAATGAGTAAATAGTTTAAGATTGTAAAAGCAACATATTATCAAGGACAGCTTAGGGAAGACAACTACATGGATTTCCAGAAAGGGTTCTGCTGATTCAGTGGTGGCAGTAGAGCCAGGAGACATGTCTGTGCAGTTTACAAAGTCTCCATTGCATATCTAAATGGCGTGTATGTTATCTGGTTTCTGAGTTACTGAGTTATCTTTAGTGTATGTATTTGGAAAGTTGAAGAAATTGAACTTAGCTATATGTTTGCATTAGTCATAACTCTGCTCGGTACTTAAGCACAATAACAAACAGGATCAAGTTTTTACTGAGAAAGCTGCAGTTACTGGTACATTCCTACTGGCCAGAAGCTGTAAGAGAAGAGGCCCCCAACTCTCAGCATCTTGTATGGTTCTCAAACATCAAGGGAACTGTACCTTATCTCAAGTCTCATAAAGTGAAATGCAATCCTGAAAACTGTAAAATATTAAACAGATTGCAAAAATGAGTAACAGCCTGAAAAACAAAAAAGTAGACTGAACTAAATTTAAAGGACTTCAAAAGCAGTCTTTGATTAATGTTGGCTACCTTTCAACTACAAATTCAAAGATATGGGAATACCTGCCAACTCTGGAATGCAGTCCCATGGGAGTCCAGGTAACATGACCTCAGGATATATGAGACAACTCCTCTCACACACCTGCTCTGGCAAGAGGGCTCACAGGTTGAGAAGCTACATAGAAATGGAATAACTCTTTTAAAAAAGAACAATGTGGTTCTATGTGTGAATATTGATGCTCCCTTTTGGGGAAAAAAATCATAAACCTAACAAATTTGGTCAGTACTAAGTATACAAAAGAATTCATGACAAGTGAATTCTCTAGCACCTTGAAAATGAAATGAAAAATAGTTCAAGCAAAATCTCTATCATCAAAGTTCTCAACTCCAGGCCAGTGAGAATTCAAGAGCTTTACGGAAAGAGGATGTTTATGTAGAAAACAATACATAAAATGCTAAGGYAGCCAGCTCCACTCAGCAGATACAGAGCAAATACCAAAGCAACTCTGGTGCATTCTGCAAAATCCAAGTGTATTTAGCCCCTGAAAGAGAGGCAAAGCATGCCTCTGGCCTTCTTACTACAGATTGGAGTTTTCTGCAAAAGCTTTAGCAGATTCGACAGCCCAAGCCTTGAGAATACATTTCAGAGGTGTGAGACAGTAATCCTTGGATCTCGTTTTCAGCACCTACAGCTGGACCAACCACTCCCAATGGGAACCCAGTGGATGAATGTGATGACGACCAGGCCAACTGCCACAGCGGAACAGGTGATGACTTCCAGCTCACAGGTGCAGAAACCATCTTCATCCCATTGCTGTTCCATTTCAGTTCATGTTGTGGTTGAGCCCAGCTAATGTCTGTGTGTGTTCTAACACCTCACGGTGGTAGGCATGAGTGTAATGGCAAAGCTTCACTAGGAATAGAGGCAGCCTGACCACATCATCTTCATTTCCACACATCTCCAAGTCACCATTTGAAAGAATGGGTTGTGTCCTTTTCAGAGCCAAAGGTTAGGATTCTCTTAATTAAATAAGAATTTCTCCAAGACTGAATGTGCTAAACAAATACTCATCTTCAGACCCTCCCTCCTGCCATAACATGGTGCACCACCCATTCATAGCTACACTCTTCAAAATGTTCATCTTCTTTTCCTAATGAGGACAATAATTTTTTTGAGTGGAGCTTTATCTAACTAATTGATTCAATTAGGCTTATATTTGAAATGTAACTTTTAAGTAAGGATTCTGTAAATCATTTTACATGAAAATTTACAAAGGTAGAATTAGTTGTTATTACACATCACCACCCACCAGCAAATATCTCAGAGATGGTGTGTGCTGAATGCCTCATAATTAATCCAGTATTACCCCCAAATCTCCTACAATGGTAAAAGCTAGAAAGTGACCTTATCTTTTACTTGAAATGGCAGAGGAAAATATTAGGCAAGTGGGGAAACAGGATTTGGAAATTGATAAGGGAGCTTGAATTTGCACTTGATTGTTACGAAAGGTATCATGGGACCATAACTGCTACCTGGGTCAAAAATGCAGTTTCGTAGAGCATGTGACTGTCCTGTTAGATTAAGCTTGAACCTTTCAGTGCAAGTCTGTATTTTTGCCAAAAATGGACTCAGATAGCCCACATAATTAATTTCCATGGTCAAAACTGAAGTTGTTACCATGTAACTTTATGAAAGAGCCAGGCTATTGGCTAATATGTTCATTTAAAATTCAGGGAATGTCCCATCATTTCCAATTACTTCAGAAGCTCTTCTCTCAGGAGTCAGAGAACTCTGCACTCTAAAATGAAATAAAGGGTTAAAAAAAAATCTGCCCAGAAATTCAGTGTCCTATGAACTGGGTTTACATTTTAATCTCACCTCCTAAAGCCATTGCTCCCCAGATTTCAAGCATTATCACTGCCATTCACATAACCAATAAGCATTACATTGTTATGAGCTTTTGAATGTAAATATTACATATAAGTAACCACAAGCCATGAAAATTAACTAATGCAGAGGTATTTTTCTATGTCAGATGTCAAGTTCAAGTTGAAAACCCTGATGTAAAAAACTACCATTCCATGAGCAGGTCCTGTGGAACCTTCCCAGGATTGCCTGTGAACACTCTTTCACAAACCTCAGGATTATGTGGACCTTGTCACACATCTGTAGTGAAATTCCTCATAAAAAGGAATGATCCCAGAACCACAATATACCCTTTTCAATTGCCCTCTTTTGGAGGGGTTCTTTTCTTTATAAACCCTAAAGTGGTCAGTTAATATTGATTAGAAACAAAGCCTCAGATTTAGTCCGTATATCAGAACAAACAACCTTCTCATTTTTTGCATTAGTTCATGACTGAATCAATTGAAACTGAAGCCTTTGAATGAAATAGGGCAAGTATGTTAGCCTGGAGCAAACTGTGTATGGCGGGGAGTCACAAACCACAGAAAATGGGTCATTTATAGTGGAAACACTGACAACCCTTTAAAAGTACAAGGTTTTGCTTTACCTACAATGTTTAAGATTGTTTCTTGATCGAGAGAGAAAATTTTAATTCTATTATTTTTTTTACATATTACCACTGGGGGGAAGTTTTCTCATGCCAGTATATTTGTTTCAACAACTATTCTATGAATATATGCATACATTAAGAACCTCTGATGGTGTTGATAATGCTCACCCCACATCCTCATTAAGAAGTAATTTTAAAAGATATTCTCAAGTTTCATAGTCATTTCTTACATCAAGGTCAGTTTTTCCTTTTGTAAAAGCATATTTTGCTTTATGAAGCTATGTGCTATTCTTTTTCAAAAAAAAAAAAAAAGGTTGTGCTCCTATGAATTGTTTTCAAGGAGTAAAACCCTCACCTAATCCAAGCACCTTTGTACATCTAAAAACTGCACCTCTGTGCTCACATGCTATTCCACATCCTTTTTGCTAATTATCTCAGGCTTTTCTGTCAGGGCTGTAAACTTTGGATGTTCCGTGTAATAAAACCAAATCAAGAGCATTCTCACTTTAACCCTGATAGGTGGGAATGTGGAAATTGGGACCAAAGCTCTCTTTGGTGGTGTTCAGTTACTTAACACAGATGGTGTCTATTTAATTTCTCCTCCTGGGGTAACCTATTTGTGTAGAGACGGAGAAATACTCTAGAAAAAATGCTTATTACTTATTAACAACACCAAATTTGGGGTGAGCTGTACCCAGTATGTAGAAATGAGGAGAGTGTTTGCTTTACCATGCTTGCTCACTAAGGTGAAAATTTACCCCTGAAGTTACTCATTTGCAAATGCCTTTGAAGTCATTAGATAATACAATTGGCTTCAAAGGCATGAGGAGGCCAAATTTCACATTGGAGCTGTGTGTACCCAACAGTGGAATTTGGCTCCTAACCTATAACAAAACTGATAATGCATATCGGATATAAAAGTGAATTTTCACCTTGAATCTTTCTCCTCTAAGACCACTGGGAACAGAATGCTAATGTATTCTGGCCTCCCTCCAATTCTACCATTATAGACTCACCTTCTTAACCCATAATATATATAACTCTTTTTTCCTAGTGCCTGCCTTACTGAGGCCATGCACACGTGTGACCATTCATGCAGCATCTTTACTGGGAGAACTGGGGTAAACGTGACTTGGTGCTATAATTGATTAACTTAGAAATCTTAGACCATTCCAAGAGCACAATTTTATATCTCTCTGATTCATGGTATCAGCATATAACATGATTTCTGATCTGTGGGATCTGCAGGATAAGCTTGGCCTGAATAAATCCTTATTGAATAATACTGTTGGAAGTTGCATAATTATAACACCTTGTAACTATCTCTGAAATTTCCCGTAAGTCGTTGGCTCACCCCCATGCCCTTACCCTGAATTGGCCCAGTACTTTATCTTTTAGAATAAAAGATTTCCTCCAACCATAGTCTGCATGGCAGATACACTTAAGTAAAAACAACCTTCTTAAGCACCTAAGTGATAAAAAGTAAACCACCATTTCCTAAATTTGATGGATTATTAGACTCATCTGAGAATCATTGAAATAGACAAACTTCAAGGGCTTACCCCTAGAGAGTCTGGTTCCTAGTTATGTCTGGAAAGGATGGGTGGAGAGGAAACTGCAATTGCAACAAACAGTCAAGGTCATTCTTAAGGTTGGGCAAGTTTAAGAACATTATAACAGAAGTTTGATGGTGTGTAGAAAATGGAAAAGCTGAAATGTGGGAAAGGGGGAGGTAAAGTTAAGTCTCCTTAAGGTGGTTGCCTATCCCCTGACCAGGAATTCCAAAGAAATCCAAACTCATTGAGAGCTTACAATGCTGTGGGTACTATTTGTTCAAGCTTCTAGTTCCTTGGGATGTGAAGAAACATTTATCCCTTTCCCCTTTTTGTGGTGCTTCCTGCCGCTTCTCCAAACCACATACTGGGTGGAATATTTGTCCTTGAGAAAAATAAACAGCTATAGCAGCAAAGGAAAAGAAAGGGAGAGAGAAAGGGGTGGGAGAAGAGAAACAACTACCATCTACTCCACATTAAGCCTCGGATTTCTAAATAGATTGTGGAGACTAGCCTTGCAATGCCCCTAAAGGCATACATCTGAAACCTTGGAAACTGTTTGAAGCTTAGAGGTCTAGGTCAAGTTTAATTCTCAAGTCATCCAGGACATTCAGAGGCTCTTGTCTTTCACTGTTGCAACTGTTTGTTGCACTTAGCCTGTGAGTCTGTGCATGCCATTGGGACAAAGTCTCAAACTCCTCATGCTTTACAAAGAAACGTATTAGGATATATTCAATACTTGAAACTTGCTAAGATAATGGATTTTATGTGTTCTCACCTCAAAAAAAAAAATAGGCATGTGAGGTAATGCATATGTTAATTAGCTTGATTTACAATGTGTGTGTGTGTGTGTGTGGTGTGTGTGTGTATGTATTGAAACATCATGTTGTACATCATAAATCTAGATATATGTTTGCTGATTTAGTGAAATATTTTAAAACACAGTGTYTTAGATGAAAAGTAATGATATTTGCATTTGAAATTATGGTGGGCAAAATTTCAGTGAAACAATTGTTACAGCTGGAATTAAAGGAAGGATTTTCTGTAGCAAATGTTTGCCTCTGATTGATGTAAACATACGTAGCTGCACATTTTCTTGCATTTTCTTATTTTTTGTATGTTATTGCTTTTGTTTTCCAGGTGGTACCACTGTGTTGACCACAGAAAAGCCGACAGTATTAGACAGCACGATACAATCAGGTACCAAACAAATGATAAAATGTGGTAGATTCCATTTGCCTCCTCCAGTGTCCCCCCCCAAAAAAAAAAAAAAATAATGCATCGCTGTGCTCTGTGCTTTCAGTTTCCCTGAAAGTCCTAGAAGGAGAGATGCCATGCAGCATCTGGTCTCCAAGCATGAGCCATAAATATTGCTTTCCTTTCATCCACATGTATATGCAGCAGGGAGTGAGATTTCCTTCTCCATCAGTAATTGCCAAATGGTGACAATCCCAGCTCTCCACCGAAGGAACTGAGTAACATACTTTGTTTAAACGCAGCACATCTAGGACATGGACTGTGTTTGCAAACTTACAGGAAAAGGAACTCTCACAAGCAGCAGCCTGACTATTTATTTTCATCACAATTCTGCAAAACCGAGACACGCAAAGTTTGTCAGTTCTGCTGGCCAYGGAGTTGGCAGTTGTACAACAGCGTTTGCAGTGGGCGTGCCACGCAACAGGGCTCAGGAAACCAAGAGGAGCGCCCTCAGGAACAGCCCCCTCATCCTTTTATTAATAGAAAAGGCTAATGACTTTTAAAGCCCTCGMAGTGCTGTTTATCAGAGGCCAGCACCAGTACCACAGTGACTCAGTGGCTTCCCTTTCGGTCTCTTTTTTTTTTTTTTTTGTTAGTATTCTGTGACATTCTTCCCCACAGGCACTCACGAAGGGAAACAGTCAGTATAAGCAATCAGAGGTTTTAAATACTTTAAAGTTAATCATTAGAGTAAGGTGAACAGGTCAGTTTTCCAGCTTCTTCCATTTCCTTTATTGAAGCTCAGTCAGCCTTGGCCTCCACAGTCATTTATTAATGGGGCGTGTGGTGTGTATTAATGTTTCCTCAACAGTACGACACTCCCCAGCGAGGCAGAAAGTAGAAAGGGCCGCTCTAATTAGTATGCTTCCTTAAAGGACGCTGTCACTCTTGGCCTGATTCAACTACAAAACCAACTTCTTTTTTTTCCATTGAACTTAATCCCAGATTTCCCTTGGTATGCTCAGGTTGACAAAATTCCTGCTGCCACACGGCTGGCTCACACATCCCCAGATACCAAAAGGTTTAGCAGAAGAATAAGCACCTAAATTCTGAAAGTTCTTAGCCTTGCCCAGGTTCTTTTCAAATTATAAAATGTGGTCTTTGGGGCTTGTGCAGCCACCCCTGATAAAGGAAGTGGAGGGAAGTGCTGCTTCTTCCCCGGCTTCCTACCTTTCCTGAGAGTTCTCTGCCCTCAGCATGGTTCTCTGAGGAGAAGTGATAGTGACTGCCAGGTGGCTCTTTTTGTATGACTCTCTGCAATCAGGAAGAGGATCGAGGTGAATAAATGGAGTTCTGATAATGTCACCCGCATTTTAACTGTTGTTTTAGTTTCTTCTCTTCCCAGAGAAGTAATTAAAGCCACTGTGAAGTTGCCAACTCATGTGTTTTATCTCATCTCTCTTCTTGCCTATTAAAAATGGTAGGGATCGTTTTTTTTTTTTTTTTTTTTTTTAAATGAAAGTGAACCACAGCTGTGGATAAAATGGAAAATGACATCAAATTCTGAGACTGGAAATCCTCTCTAAATGTGGAAGGTCCCTATTATCAGAGCAGGAATGATTTGGGTAACCCAGTTGATTTGTGCATGAGCTCAAGGTCACTTGTGGGATGGCTTCACCAAGGGGGCCAGGCAGACTCCTTATCTAGGGTCTGCTGTGGTTAGAGGGCAGGTGTACACAGCACAAACCAGCAAGACCCATTRCTACCACCATTGGAAAGACATCAGTTCAAACCATGCCACTTGCTGATAGGGGTGGTCAGATATTGTTGGAATTTCACAGTTGGCCCACAGCCCTTTATAAATGGACTTGGTTTCCTGTTTTTCCATTGTCTGTGTTATGAATCTCATCTCCAAGCCTTCCTTGGTGGTTAATGGCCTGTTGAACCCTTTTTGAAAGTGTTCTGTGCCTTGTCACCCTCTGGCTAAGTCCATTCTCAGAAAGCTTCATGAGGACCTAAGCAGGCTTTGCGTCGGGGTCCCCTCTGCTGCTAACTTTGGGGTATTCACCCAGTGACTGGACTCATCTAATCAATACCTTGATTCATGCTGTTCTGCAGACTTCAGATTCTTCTGACATCTTCACAAGCAGCAGCAGATCAGACCCCTAAACTTTCATTATAATTCAATTTTGCGGGAGCCATTATAGATTCAGGCAAAGTTATTATGATTTCATTTCGAGGATTCTTACCATTAAAATAAACTCAGTGAGCACACGATATTCATATACTGTCTGGGTTCTGGTCAGATGCATAAAAGCCTATTAATATTCCTCCTGAAAATGATGAGATCCCTGCATTTTTTAATCCGGCTCTCTCTGGGGAGGGCTCTTCTTCTCAGAGTTCTTTAGACCCCTGCAGCCCACAGCGTGTTCTTAACCCATGATTACATGGGCCTTGGCACCTATACTTGTTTGGGCTGAAAAACCAGTCTATGGGCAAGTAGTGAACATACTCAATAGAAGCTTTGAATACCAGATTTAAAAAATTAAATCCTTGTGCATATATGGTGCTAATGATTCATCTTTGGGCAAGATAGGTTCAACAAGCGCAGCTGGTGCTTACAGGGGCTATAAATTTGTTTTAAGTTCAGAATATTGTTTCCTGCTATTTTTAAGAGTCAAGAAGGGATTTAGCCAGATTATTCCCATTGAATTTAATGAGAATTGTGTGCAGCTACAGGGGCCTAGTAATATTTTGGAAATTTAAAGGTCAATAGTCCTATATATTTATTCCCTTTGTCCATTTGCCTTTTATTTTTGTCCTTTCTCTGCCCTTTTCTTCTCTCCTTCTAGGCTTGTCTCTTTCTCCGTTTTTGGCTTTCTTTTTTCCTACCTATAAATGTTTGCGGGTATTTTGTGTATTTAATTATTTTTCTATTCTGGCCTGAATTGTCAACATTGAGCTACGTGCTCCACCGCCCTCCCCAACAAAATGCATTGATTTAATAATATTTCTTTTAAATAAACAAGATGGCCCTCAATTATATGAGCAAGGCAAGAAGACATAAGATCAGTAAAGTAGGAAAAAAAAAAAAACAGAGCAGTTCTGCTAGTTAAATTCACAGGATTGGAAAGGCCTTTGGAAGATAAAAATGCCCTTCACTGCAGCAATAAGAAATGCTAGAACTATCTTTCCAGGCAAAGCTGTTCCCTTCTCTGGTCATTACAAGAATATCCAAGTTCATATACTTCATGTAATTAGAATGTTAATAGTCAAAATAATGGACGATGTGGTTTTCTGCACTGTCGTGTAAATTTAATGTATTAACAAGGCAGATAGAATCAGAAATGTGTGTACTGTAATGGCTTTCTGCCCTCCTGTATGTATGTGTCTCATAAAGTACATTTCAGGAGAAAAATCAAAACGGTACTTACAGTAACATTTTCCAATATTAACATTCTCTAACATGAGATTATGCAACAGTACATTCCAGGGCCAGGGACATTAACATCCGAAGTTGCTCAACCATTCTTTCACTGTTTAGTGGACTATTTCTTCTGCACAATTCATTTTGTTGCACCAGAGTGTGGTCAGTTTGGAGGAGAGTTTCTCATCCCTTAAGGAGCCCTGTTTCATGGTTATGATAGACTAGACATGAAATACACCTCTCCAATGACACTATAGCTGCAAAACACAGCCCTTCTGTACTCACTGACCATGCTCACATTAAATACACCTCAAGGCTTACTTCATTTTTCCAAAGTGGCCCTGTCCACCTTTTGGGAAGTCACATTAATATTGGGGAATCCATCCTGCTCAGTTTTAACTATCCATAGAGCGGGTTCCTTCCAAAATTTGACATTAGCCTTGAAAAAGCTTCCTTGGAAACCAGAAMTGTGGAGTAGATCATCCTTATCTATTTAATAAATCTTTCCATTAAAATTCCTCTGGCCATTGTTAAAGTGGGGGAAGGGGCAGTGGAGACCCAGACACAGAGGGGAAAGCAAGAAAATCTGTGTTAAACACTTGGGCAAGTTAAAGAAAAGCTCAAAATGAGATCTGGTCTCAGCCTGACCCTAAGGCAGCACTATCCAGACTTCCATTATTGTTCATAGCAGTTCTTTTGAGGCTTAAGTTCAATTGGCTAGACTCCCTCATCTTTCTATTCRTTTCAATGCTGCCATCTTGTGGCTTGCCTGAACTCAAGGAGACGCACAGGCCCTCCTTCACTGGAGAAAATAGCCCTTTTGTATGCCTCTCTTCGTTTAGGGGGAGGTAAGTGTGGGACAGACAGAGCATGAGAATTTCATCTTTAGAATTATCCTTATTGCTAGCTTATTTTTTACCAAAACAAATTCCTAGTATCAATGATTTCCTGTTTTCCATTCTTAAAATGTCTAGCTCCTTTCAAAAAAGAGGAATAAAAGAATAAAGCTATGAGTTTTAGCACACAACCATCGTCAGCACCTTGTAAAACCCATGAGTTGAATCATTCCTGTGAATCTATTCATGCTTTCTTTTCAGCTTCCAAAGGAAGCATTCTGAAGATTAAAAAAATTAAAATGGGTGCCTATTTTAATGTGCTTTGGCTTTTCATGACCTTGCACTGGGGTTTTAAGTGGAGCGAACAATTTATATGCAAATTTAGAAATTCACTAAAAAAGCAGAAACTTATTCTTAAATTAATTGACCTGATGGAAATTCGGGGGAAAAAATAGTCTTAAGAAAATACTGCAAAGATTTCTACCCTGACTGGCATTAAAGACCTGAAACATCAGCTGGTGGGGTGCAAACAGACAGCTTCCAGGATGAGGCATTCAACCAACCCTCATCTCTAGGTTTTTGAGATTTTGGGGTCTATCACTAATAACATTCTTTTCATTGATGGATATCAATTTATATGGCTCATCCTCAAGAACAGACTATCTTTCATGTTAAATACTGTGGAAATAAGAAAAATGCTGCAAATGTAATATACGTGCCTTGGAAAGTAGCCTTCCTGGAAGTTTTATGTAAACCCAATTTGACAGGCAGACCATAATCTTTTTAAAACTGGATACAAAATAATAGTAATACTAAATGGGATTTTGCAAACATTTTGACATCTCCATACATCAATTGATTTCTTGGTAATCCTGGATTTTGTGGCTTTCCCAGAATTTTTGAACGGATGTGAAGTTATAAAAATCATGCTGTTCGTGATCGTATAAAAGGCCTTTCTGACCCTGAATGATTAAATTTGTCTTTCTCTGCTTGTCTCTGTTTTTCCTTTCCACCCACTGAAGAGTTTCCAACATATGGTTTTAACTGTGAGTTTGGCTGGGGCTCACACAAGACATTCTGTCACTGGGAACATGACAATCACGTACAGCTCAAGTGGAGTGTCCTCACCAGCAAAACAGGACCCATTCAGGATCATACAGGTAAAGAGGAGGGCACTGTGGTCTAAGGGCATTGCAAATCCTTTTTGGTAAAAGAAGGTACTACTGGGGGTTGGGGGTGTCTGGTACTTGTGAATTTAGGGGCCTTAGATAATACTATAATCAGTTGCTGATTTTCTGAATAAACAAAGTCTCATTCCCAGATAGAGAAGAGCTTAGGGCAAATAATGGGAATATGATTGAATTGAGCCACTGACTAGCCTCCTTTAAGAGCAGCAAACTGGGAAAGAACGGGTGAATTGATTCTCATCTTACACTTTTTTCCTGAACTTTTTACTGAAACAATTTTAAGCATATTCAACAGCAGAAAACGAAATAGTGAGCCCTATWTGAGCATACCTCTCCTTCAACAATAATCACATCATAAGAATCTTATTTCTTCTCTATCATCCCTGACTCCGCATTATTTATCTCTGTCATTCCCAACTCTGGATTACTTTATATCAAGGCATTGTGTGTTTTCACTGATTTTACAACTATGGAAGCAAGAGGCCAGTCCGATGCTTACAAAATGGGTAAGATTCTTATTCACTGGGGCAAGCCTTTTAAATCTTTTCCTCCTGCCATGTAGGAACCTTACCACACCCCAGCTCACAACCCATCCCCCCCTCCTCTCTTGTTTTTCTCCTAAGATTAATGGGTGAGGAAGGAAGGAATTAGAAAACAAAGAGAGCTGACATTGGCTCCAGTGAACTCTTTTTCCACCTCCATCCTGTTCCCCTCCTAATCATTTTATCACCCAACTTCGAGGTACCATATAAATAAACAGTAGGGTCCTGCCAAGAACTCTCTCTCTCTCTCTCTCTCTCTCTCTCTCTCTCTCTCTCTCACACACACACACACACACACACACACAAACACACAAACTACACTTAAATAAACACACTTACAACAAAACCCAAACTCCTACTCCACTCAGTGATACAGAAGACTAAGCACTCAAATAATGGCTTCCCATAAGGTACCCCAGAGGGGCATTTGGAGATGCTGAAAAATCTGATTAAGTTCTCTCTGGACTGGTAAAGTGGATGACTGGGTCTGTGGGCTGACGGCTGGGCACGGGGCTCTTCATGCATTTCCCATTTTGTTGTTCACTTTTTTCCTCAGTGAACATAACCATTAAGTAGGTTGAATAGGCCTCCTTCCACCAYGGCTACCTCCTTGCCTAATGAGAATGACAAGGAAATTGGATAAAATTGGACTTCTTCAATTCTGAGACACTTTCCATTGAATCTTAAGACAAGCAGTTTTAGAAAACTTAAAATACTTTGACTGTAAATGGCACTGTACATATAAATGGCATCAAATTAACTAAATGCAATTAGCTGAAATGAAGGCAGTAATGGTGGAAAAATTGATGCAAAGTGAAGCAAAATGGCTCAGTAGGATCTGACATTCAAAGGAGGTTAAAAGCTATGTTAGCCAGAGACAAAAGCTAAAAGGCTTGCAGAAGTAAAGTGCTAATTGAGAAAATGAAGACAGAGTTCCTGACCCAGAACTGTGATAAAACCCCTGAAAGGGAAAATATCAGCGCTTTATGTGTTGGAGTATCAGAGAAGGAGAGCTCGTCTTAGATTAACAGCTGAGAARTGTGATTCAGAAGGATTTGGCTCCTTTGTTCTCCCAGCCACCCAGATTTACTTGGCTGTGGTACCAGGTCTGCTCTGACTAGAAAGAGCCTCCCACAGCATGAGAAATACAATCGTCTGAGAGAGATGGGTGAGTCTGATGTCTTAAAGGCAGGAACTTGTTAACAAGAAAAAAAATCCAGATAAAAAGAGCTATACAAATAGCTCACATACACTCACAGATGGACATTGGATAGTATATAGCATTTTTAAACAATACTATTTGGAACTTTGCAAATCAGACATTGAGGTATTATTATTATTACTACTATTTAGTGAAAATGCCCAATTTTGAATTGAAAGGAATCCCACTTGGTTTGATCTACGTTTGATCTCATAAGAATTAAAACTATGTACTTCCTTATAGAAGATGCCTAAAGTTCAGCCTCTTTGCCTCATTCATTGGACAAATGCTTTGGGGGTAACTCTTTTATATGGCAGAAGCTGTGTTGGACATTGTGTAGGGTATATGCAAATACAGTCATAGATCCCTTTATATTCACATGGGATTGGTTCCAGGACCCCCACAGRTATCAAAACCTATAGATGCTCAAGTCCTGTGTATAAAATGACATGGTATTTGCATAGAACCTACCAACATCCTCCTGTGTACTTTAAATCATCTCCAGGTTTCTTATAATACCTACCATAAAGTAAATTCTATGTCACTAATTCTTAGCCCATATTGTTTAGGAAACAATGACAAGGGGAAAACAGTCTGTACCTGTTCGACTATGATGCAGTTTTCTTTTCAAATATTTTCCATCAGAGATTAATTAAATCTATGAATGTGAAACTCATGGATGCAGAAGGCAGATTGCACTGCACCATTTTGTACAAGGGACTTGCGTATGGACTTTGTTTCCATGGGGTCCTGTAAGCACCCTGTTGCAGATATTGAAGGACTGTTGTACACAGAAGGACATTCTTGCACTTGAGGAGCTCACAGTCTGGTTGTGTGAGAGAAACCATTACAGTGCCACTGAGTGAGGGCATCCAGTGGCAGAGATGAGCCATGATTTTAAAAGAACATGGAAGGGGTCAGAGGAAGAGGTCCTGTCTTAGAAACTGGCTAAGCTAGGCTTATTTTAATGAGTTACAAGTTGGAGTGGTTGGACAGATGCTTCATGTACAGTAGTTAGATTTATGGCAGGCAAGTGCTGTGAAGAAATCCGGATGGGCAGAATGCAGGAGAGAGCAACTGAGGAATTTTAAGCAGAGGAATGATATGAGTGAATTTTTAAAAGACTACAATGGCAGCAGGGCAGAGCTGTGAGGCACTTCTCAGGCAGCCTTCCTCTCTCCACCAATGACCAACTCTTTCCTTCTTTCTACCACCTGTTCTCCAACCAGCCTAACTAAACACCAAAAAATAAGCTCATAAATAGGCTCCATTAATGCATTTCCTCTCTGCAGCATTGCCAACTTCAGTCTTTTTCCAGAAGGTTGGAGGAGCTGAGGCAGGGTGGGTGTATTTTTTCCCTGCCCATCTCAGTGGACCAATCAGTCATAGCACTATCATGCAGGCAGGTGACCATGGCTTGGTGGGACAAAACAAATCCCAGGAGTAAATGAATCTGCTTGAACACAAGGGAACCTCCACAAGGGCAGAGTGAGAGARATATACTGCAGTATCATACATCCTGCTAGAGTTTTGGCTTATTTACACCCTTCTTTCATTTACTTGGTTTTAAAGAGAGTGTTGGGGGTTGGAGACAGGGATCTTATGTAGGCAGTCAGGTAAGGAAAGAAAGCTGCCCACTATCACCCACTTCCACCCAGACACTGTTGATACAGGTGATCAGACACAAGGACGTGCCCACATATGCACAGTGAAAAAGGCCTTTGCAAACACATAAGCCTCCTGGGCAGCAAACAAAACATCCTGCTGTCCACCGAGGCTGAGCATCACATTCACACTTACATCAGGTGAGGCATAAGAGTCAGTGATTTCTATTTGCAGAGCAAACAGTGAAACATGAGTTGTGTGTTTAGACCAGGTGGTGGCAGGAGGAAATGTTCCCACTGGGGGTAATTAAAAGCAAAGCCAAGAGTCAATCCTCACCACTCCGCAAGTGTCGACATTGCCAGAATGGCACATTCTAATGAGCCTCAAAAAATGCAACCTTGCTTCTCCTTGAACCAGAAGTACATCAAATAGAAGCTGGACTCACAGTTGACAATCAGGCTCTTGGGCTATATTTAAGGAATTCATAGAAACATTAACATAAATGTGTTTAAGGAATTCATAGAAACATTAACATAAACTAAGATAATCAAATTTAAAAAGAATGAGCAAAAAGAATTGCTAGATTTTTTTGCAAAAACCACAGCTTTATTATCGTCAAGTGACCAAAGCACCATAACCAACCAGAAGTCCTGCTGCTCAGATGATGAATATGAAGACATCAAAACTATTCCATTCGATGTTTGTGTTTACCTAGTTACTACTGAAATGATCTTAAAGTCACATTAAAATAAATTTTCTTAGACAGTGAGACCACTTTCTATGCAATCTGGGTACAAATGTGCTTCCAATCTACCTATCAAAGGTACCAAGGTCAACTTGCATCATTGCTTTGTCTATTTGACAATGCATTCCAGACATCTACTATTCAAATCAGTATGGCTTGGCAGYCTTCCCCCAATCAAATGTTAACTTGCAGAAGTTGAGAATAGGAACTCTGTGCCTTTCCTGGGCATTTTCCTTCCGTGGGATATCTGAGTTCTTCATGCTCAGCTTAGAAAAGAAATGTTGATTGATGGATCTTGAAAGGAAAGAAACAAAGGAGCACGTACTTTGGCCACACTCCCTAACGCAGTTCTTTGTCACATCAGGAGACGGCAACTTCATCTATTCCCAAGCTGATGAAAATCAGAAGGGCAAAGTGGCCCGCCTGGTGAGCCCTGTGGTCTATTCCCAGAACTCTGCCCACTGCATGACCTTCTGGTATCACATGTCTGGTTCCCACGTGGGCACCCTGCGGGTCAAACTGCGCTACCAGAAGCCAGAGGAGTATGATCAGCTAGTCTGGATGGCCATTGGACACCAAGGAGACCACTGGAAGGAAGGGCGTGTCTTGCTCCACAAGTCTCTGAAACTCTATCAGGTATGACCCCCTTTCCTAGGTTGGAGAGGAAAATAGGTTCAGGAAGCTGGGATAATATTTGGAAGGTTATGCAAATGAGATGCAGGAATTCTTCCAAAAAATGATTTTAGGTATTTCCCAAACCTGAGCTATTGCTGCAGGGATAATTATCTCCATAGTATATTTCACAGTCTCCTAGTTTATAAGAAGAGAAACAATTTGCCTAGAAAAGGGAAAGGCTTCTTGGTTATCTATTTCGGAGCTGTCACAAGATATTATTGCTGGTTTTCCCCCATTTTAAAGTTTGTGTTATAGAAAGAGAATGTAAGGAGAAGTTCTCTGCCATCACCAGGCAGTTGATATGGATTGATGAGCAGAGTGTGTGCTTATGCGATATCTCATGAATTTAATTTATGTGTCATTGCTTTGGCTGAACAAGCACTTGTAAACACTGATATTTGGGATGAGCATTCAAATACTGTGAAAATGATCTCATTCTGTTAGGTGATTTTTGAGGGCGAAATCGGAAAAGGAAATCTCGGCGGGATTGCCGTGGATGACATTAGCATTAATAACCACATTTCACAAGAGGACTGTGCAAGTAAGTACAAGTTTGATGTAGAAACAATAGAGCACTTGCCATTAATAGTCATTGACTTGCTCATTTAGAACAAAATTTCAGCATAAACTGTAGGCACATTCACATGAAATGCATATTCTGGTGCAATGGGTTTAAAATTGAGCCAGTCTTCCATACCCTACCCTCTGACCTAACCTAGTTCATTTAGACTGTCTGATTGGTGCCTCCAAAATTTGGTCAACAATGTGGATTCCAAAGATTTTATCAAAGCAGAAAGACTCAGCTTACAAACTACATATGGCATACCCAAACATTTTGATAAAAAGTGGAAAGCTCAGACATCTGGATAATTCCAAATATCTGAGTATATAAACAAAACAGCAGGCTTTTGAAAATTTTGATCACAGTGAACTTAATAAGATTATATTGTTAATGAATCACATAAACCAACATTCTTTTTGTAAATAAGTTGATGTTTCTGACTCTAAAGAAAGCCGAAATGACTTGAAGGATAAATGAATTCAGAGACTGCCTACTGTTTCGGAGTTGATCTGTATGGGTCTGGTACTATATGCATAAAAAATATGACATAGAAAACCAATTCATATTCCCTAGTTCTTGATATATAATTACAAATAGCATCACTAATGGCAATGTAATAGCACAGTAATTAGTCTTAAGCTCCATTTGCTACACTTAAACTTTTGTTATATATCATTATATAATAGGACGTTAATTATTCTGAGRATGGAATAAGCCTATTGGGCAAATTTAAGACAAAGGAGGCCTGTTGGCTTTAATAGATTTTTTGGTCATTTCATCAACTACAAAGCTTTTATTATACAATATATTGAATGTGTATAATTCCTAAAGTAGCAATAATTTGATAGGGTCAATTGAAGAAATTGTGTGGGGGGGAATTCAGATCTGTTTTTCATTGTATGTAAGGAAATCTATTTAATGCCATAAGCCCTAGCAGATCTTCACACAAATGATACAGTGTAGTATTTCAGTTGCAGCAGTTTTACAAATCACCCATGTCCAAGTCTACTGCAATTAAAATGTGTATTTCATATAGTTACACAGTGCATGTAATATCATTGCTTTCCCATTCCAAGTTGAGAATAATGTTGGTGATATTTTAGGGATGTGAGCACAAGCTAAAACAAAGAAATAAAATTAAATTCAGCTCAACAAGCTTTAACTGATCATACACTATGTGCCAAGTGCCACTGTGAGTGTAGATTAAGACAATTCTGTGAGCCTTTTGCTTTTTGTGATTCGTCTACTTAGCTGTAGGTGCTAGCAGCTATTATCCTCAGAAAATAATAACCAGAGTTCCATTTGAGTACTTTATTTACATGTCAAAGATAATTACATAATTATTCTTCAAATACATATTCGTGAACATCTAGCCACGGGTGATATTACAGTATAAACTAATTATTAATTATTCATTCATTCATACAACAAAAATTTATTAAAGCCCCTATTATGTGCTAGACATTATTTTAAATTCTAGACAGTATTCTATAGCAATGAACAAAAAGCTCAAAACTCTCCCCTCCCCTATACTCAGTACTATGAAAGATATTGGGACTTTACTTCTTCCAGAGAATTCTATTTTATTTTATTTATTTTTGATAATACACATGATACAGTCTCTTGCCTCAAGAGTTACCTTGCGGGGCTGGGRCTTTAGCTCAGTGGCAGAACACTTGCCTAGCACATGTGAGACACTGGGTTCGATCCTTAGCACCACATAAAAATAAAGAAATAAAATAAAGCAKGCTGTCCGTCTACAATAACAAAAAAAAATTTAAAAAAAATAAAAGAGTTACCTTGCTATTTGGGAAGCCAAACTCATATGCACCAAACTTAGGAAACAGTCATCTATAAACTATAGCCTGGTAACCATAGGTACAACCCCACTTCTCTTCCCTAGAGCCAGATTTTCCCACATTCCAAATGCCCAAACTAGGTCTCTCCACCCTTCTCTTCTAAAAAAACACACACTAATGATAGCCATGCTACCAGGATTTCCATGTGGCCCCTCAAAGGGAGTGATGCACCTGATGCCACCAACTTTACAGTCATTTCACATGGACTCTGTATTGCTCAACAGTGTCATTTGGTGGATTTGGATTGTACTAAAAACTTCGTAAGGGGGTCTGGGGTTGTGGCTCAGCAGTAGTGCACTCATCTGGCATATGTGAAGCACTAGATTTGATCCTCAGCACCACATTAAAATAAATAAATAAATAAAATAAAGGTATGTGTCCATCTACAATTAAAAAAATAAATTTAAACTCTATAGGAAGCCCAGCTGAGGTGTATGCCCATGTGCATATGTGTGTATCTATGCTGTGTGTATTCTATTTTGTTGGCAGTTCAAATATCTTTTCAATTTTGTTTGACTTATCAGAACCAGCAGACCCGGATAAAAAGAACACAGAAATTAAAATTGATGAAACAGGTAAATATGTTTTGTGGACAAATTATTTTTAAACTTCTTGTGCCTTTCATTATGTATGTCTGTGAAGAAACTTCTCTGGAACTCTAATACACTGACATATCAAAGCAGTTTGAATAAAATAAACATGTATGCCTGAGGCACTGAGTTAGTGGATTGGATTGCAGTCACAGAATACCCTTTCCTAAGCTGCCCATAGGACTTTTGGAGCCTCAATGACAGCTTGGTTTATTATATAAGTGCGGCTCACCCTGGCCTTTACCTGCCTGAGCTTTATTGCTGAGGGATAGTCAAGTGAAATGCTGTTATTTTATAATTATGAAGATAGAAAACTAGTGAAGACTATTTTCATACAATAATTTGACGCCAACTCAATTTTTTGCGTTTCGTTGATATGCAGGTAAAATCCTTAAGAGTCTAGAGCCCTGGCTGTGTGCAGTGGCACATGTCTATAATCCTGGCAGCTCAGCAGGCTGAGACTGAGGTAGCTAAACTTATAAGAGGATTGCAAGTTCAATGGCAGCCTCAGTAATTTAGCAAGGGCCCTAGCAACTTAGTGAGACCCTGTCTCAAAATAAAACATTAAAAAAGTATTGGGGGTGTGGCTTAGTGGTTAAGTGCACCTGGGTTTAATCTCTGGTACCAAAATAAAAATTAAAAAAAATTAAAAATAGAATCTACAGCCCAATTTCTAGAATGATCTGTAGCATTTGATCCATCTTTTCCCATCTTCCTCTACTGGAACCCTGGTTTGGTGATGATGATGGCAGTGTTGATAGGGATTTACTGAGGAACCACTATGTTCCAAGCATTTCATATACATTACCCCATTTAAACCTCACAGYAGCTCCATTGGGTATGTTTATCTGCATTTTATAGATGAGACTAAAACTTAAGTGATGCAGCTAATTAGATGGTAGCCTTGGACTTTAGTTTGATTAAGTCTAAAATGTGTTTCATTTAACACTGCTTTGGATCAAATGCAAGACATTTGGTCAGAGTTAGGCTTTGCCTGGTGTTATTTTATTCCCAGAAGTTCCTCCTGGCTGGCTCTGGGGGTTGTTGGACACTTGCCCCAACATTACTCATAGCTGCTGCAGGCAGCACTGCACCCAGAACATCAGTGTTCATCACCAACTGTTGCCATTAGAAACGTGGTCCTAGATAGCCAGACCTGGGCTTGAGACAAATAAACATGGCACTATGCTGTTGAAAATATTAACACATTTCCAAGTCCACACAGCGATGTAAACTTTATTAGACGCTGTTTCAAAACAATATTTCATCAAGGGAGATAATATTAATATGCCCCTAAGGCTTGTTTTCCCCTGGTTAGGGACTTGCATCTCATATTTTTAGTTTTCGTTGAYTGGAATCTTTGTTGATGAGAACATCATTAAGTAAACACCACGCATGTTGCACATTAGCATTTTAGTCCTGTTCTAGTAGCAGGTAATTAGGCTCAAAGCTCCCATGTTAATAATTTCTCCTGTTCCACTCTAAAGAAAACATGTCCCCAGTGACTCAGCTGCAGAGCAGTGTAACCGTCTCTAGTGAAACTACCAGCGTTGTGGAGACGCTGATTATTAAATGTCTTCAATTCAGCATGACACAGACACGGTTTCTTGATTTGAGCCACAAAACCTTTTATACCAGCATTCTTGTTCTGAAAGATCTGTCCTTCTTTAGGGAAACTGCTGTAGACTTGGGAAAACCTTGTTTAACTTGCCAGTTTCCCAGGTGGGAGAATAAACACATAGGTAAACTGAGCCGGACTCAGGGAATGGTTCTTGGAAGCTCAGCACTGAAAGTATCCCTGGGCCTTGGATTGTAGTCAGAGACATGCACAGGGAACATTTAATACACCCCTCCCCAAACTACCCCCCCCCCCACACACACACACACAAACTAGGCAAATGATGACTATTTTGCAAAGTGTAATGAGCGTGTATCTGGCCCAAGATGATAAACATAGATTAAAATCTAGTGCAAACAGAGACTGCATGAAATCTGAATTAGATTAGAACATAAACCTCACTGTTGATGCAGAATCCTCTTTTTCCATGTGCTAAGCTCTCTGCCTCAATCCCAGCCCCCTCACCTCCCACACCTCACTCCCAGCAACCAGTCAAAGGTGACAGGCAAAAACTGGAGCCTGGAACTTACTCTAATTTCTTTTCTCTTTCTGGATTTTTCTGTCTGCTCTCATCTGGTCCATCCGTGGTGCTCATGGAGTCAATTTTGTCTCATTCCCAGGCAGCACCCCAGGATACGAAGGCGAGGGAGAAAGCGACAAGAACATCTCTAGGAAGCCGGGCAATGTGCTGAAGACCTTGGATCCCATCCTTATCACCATCATAGCTATGAGTGCCCTGGGGGTCCTCTTGGGTGCTGTCTGTGGGGTCGTGCTGTATTGTGCTTGTTGGCACAACGGGATGTCAGAAAGAAACTTGTCAGCCCTGGAGAACTATAACTTTGAACTCGTGGACGGTGTGAAGTTGAAAAAAGACAAACTGAATACACAGAGTACATATTCAGAGGCATGAAGGCGGACGGAGGTGAAAAGACAAGTTGGAGAATCCAAGTGGAAGGACTTAACTTTGAGCGTGCTGGGGAACTGTTGATCTGCTTTCACTGTACAGGCTGGGAAGTGCGTTGATGACACTGAGCCAGGCTTTTCTCAGGAGCTTCAATGAGTATGGCCGACAGACATGAACAAGTGAGCTGTGTTAACAATCGGAATCATGTACAGTCAGCTTTCTTCTGTTGGTTTAATTTGAATAATCCGATGCTGGTGTTGAGACCAAGTATGATTGACTTAATGATTCATTTCCACTCCCCCCC